GCCTTCGGGGTTGCTTGCTCCGCCTAGGCGCAGCCCGGCCCCGAACGCGGGCGCCGCGCCCCGCCCGTTCTCCGCCTGCCCCCGGTGGGGCGGCGCGGAAAGGAGCCGCTGTGCCAAGGCGCCCTCAGAGCTGCTGCCCGTCTCCGGAGGGCCAAGGCAGGACTGCCCCCTCCAGGCCGTGGCAGGGCTGCAGCCGGGCCTCCCTCGTAGAAACGTTCGCTTCGTGCAGGCGCTGTTGGAAGGCAACGGGTGCAACTCCCGGCTCCTCCTTTCGCTTCCAGAACAGGACTGAGCGTGCGGGACGCCGCGCCCACCTGCCCTGCTTGATCCGTTCGATTCGACGGCTTCCTCACATCTGAGCTGGGGAAACGCTGAGAGCCGCTGGGGGGCTGCAGGCAGAGATGTGGGCGCAGGGCCTTGTAGGTCACCCCTGCCTGTGTGTGTGTGTGTCACATCCTGTGATGGGAGGACAGGCTGAGCTTTGGGCTGTCTGTCTGGGGATGACTCAGCCTCCAAAGCGCAGGAACACCTTCCTGGGGTCGCCCCCCCCGCTCCCTCTGCAAAGCTCAGGGGCATCTCATCTGCAGCCTAGCCCCCTTCAGTAAAGCGGACTGCAACTCCCACCCCCGCAAAGCAGCAGGCACAGCTGTCTGGGGGCAGGGAAGGCAGCCACGGAGCTAATGCTTTTGGCCGAGCCATTCACGTCCTGCTGCGTGGCGGGCAGGTTCCCATTGGTCTGTGGGGCCTGCCCCCAAGCAGAAGTCAAGCACAGCCCCTGCTTCAGCCTTGAAGCCAGCAGCCTCTTCCTCCCCTTCGCTGCACTGGCTTTCCTGGAGGACCGGAGGCTTCTGCTCCTCAGCTGGGGCAACCCCCGAACGGGACCCTCTCCTTCCCTCGTTGTCACTCCTGGGCTGGGCGGCGTAGGAATGACAAGCAAGAATGTTTGCAGGGAATTGGAGAAGTCAGGCACAGGGCAAACCCTGCAGTGTTTGGGGAGGGCCAGCGCTAACAGGCGCTCTGCCAGGGCCCCTCACCCAGGCTGTCCCCTTGTCTTGTGAAGACTAAAACTCACTGCTGTTTGGGCACAGGACAAGCTCGATTCCCTCAGAAAACAACACGGGTTTCTGAATTTTTTTTTTAAAAACGTTTATTAAACTTTACATCCTGATTGTCCAGTTCTTTAGTGATTGTCAAGTCTATTTCATACATACTACAAGAAAGGAAAAGAAAACTCAAGTCCCTAACTGAGCTACAATACATGATAATAAAAAGGCAGCAAAGAAGGTTCAGGAAGGCTGCCACATGGGGGGCAGAGGAGTCCATCACGCCTGCAGCCTCCAAATCCCCTCGCAGGCCCATTTGGTGCAGCCTCTCCAGCCCCTGGCAGTCAGGGGGCCCCGGGCTCTCAAGGCGCAGTGCGGAGACTCCCCAGGCTGCACCCAGGCCCCTCAGCCAGGACAGATCCCCATCCAGAGACGCCTCCGCCCCAAAAACTCCCCGGGAAGCCCATTCGGAGCTGCCCCTTTGGGAAGGCATTTAAAGGATCTTCGGGGGGGCCCAAAAGGTCCCCAGCAGCCCCTTTGGCTCCCAACATGGAGCGGTGGTCAGTGTGGCCAAGCAACGGTCAGCGCAAAGCGGGAGCGGGCGCCCTTCGGGTAGTAGTCCAGCTGCAGGGCGGGGCTCCCTAGTCAGCCACGCCTCCCCCGTACAGGTCTGCCAGCTTCTGGAAGCGGCTGCCCCAGTCCTTCAGGTAATCGTAGTCTTGGTCCTGGTCAGGGGCCGAGGAATTGAGGGAGCTGAGAGAGCCGGCCTCGGAGCCGCCACCCTCGTAATCGAAGACCAGCAGGGAGTCATAGGGAGGGGCCGTCGGGTCCAGGTCAGCAGCCTTCAGGTTCTGCGTAGGAAAGGAGGAAGGGGTCGGCCTTGTGCGTGGGGCAGCAGCGCCACCCAAAAGTTCATCTGCTCCTGGGCTTTGTCACCCATCTAGTCTGAGTCAGGGCTGGCTGGCAGCATGTGGCCCCAGAGGTGAAGGCGGCCCTGAGGCCTGTTCCAAAATTGGTGCCATAGGTTGGACAGTGCTGAGATGGGAAACCCGGAAACTACAATATCAGCCTTAAAATAGGGATCAGCTGATTTAAGAGTCCTTGTCATAATAATAATAAGGCATTGGAAGAGTAATTGAAGGACGGTGAAGAAGATGCACTGAAGCTAGTATATCATGAAGGCTTACTGAAGTGACCAAACTGGCCGACAAGAAAGACCAAATGAAGAATAGACAAGAGTCGTGGCAAGGCAAAGTATTACATGGCCAGAACACAAACTAGCAGGCAAAGCAGATAACAACAAGACTTGGCAATGGCTAAGAGCAGGAAAGCTGAAGAAAGAGACGGGGGCTAATTCCTGCACAAGACCAGCCCTCAAGAACAAACACATACGAAGCCAGAATCGAGAAGGCAGCAACAGGCAGCAAATGCCGCCTCTGCAAAGAAGCTGACGAAACAGTGGACCACCTAGTCAGCTGCTGCAAGAAGATCACACAGACTGACTGCAACCACGGCATGACAGAGGAGCAACAATGGTGCCTTGGGATATCTGCAAGAAATGCCACTTGCCTGCAAGCCAGAACTGGTGGGACCACAAAACAGACAAAGTGGTAGAAAATGAAGAAGCTTAAAAAAAAGAAAAGCTAAAACTAAAAAACAACACCCCAGACTTAACAACTGTTGATAAGAAAGACAAAAACGTCTGGACAGTGGACGTTGCAATACCTGGAGAC